AATAAGCAACTGTTAAGTCACAAAAGGGGTTAGACACTAGTGTCTCATAAATTGGTACTAGTATTTAATGAAAAGCACTAGGTTAGCCAACCAGAATTCTATGAATAGTTATTAGTAAACAGCTCCGGCCACAACTGGAATGAATTTGTAATCATAATGAATAGTTGAGGTCTGAACCACAGACCACCTTAGAAGTTAGTTGAGAAAAACTTTTTTTAATGGCATGTCAGCTTCTTTGACCATTTTCATGGTGAAAACTACATTCAAGCTACTGATTTACAATAGAAATTAAAATAATTTAAGACCAGTTTATTTTCAAACTAAATTTGGATAAACTTGATTCAAACTTTTCATGAGTATCAACAACAATTTTTCTAGAAGAAACAATACAATCCAATAAAACATTTGACAGACAATGAGCTCTGACATGTACATATGGGTGGGATTTAATTTGCAATTTAACAATGAAATATTAACTAGTCACTGTTGGGATAGTGACTAGTAACAAAGGAACAAAATTACTAGTATGTAATTGAGCAATAGTGATAAATTGAGCGTGTACTATTCCTGAATGGAGTACGTTAGCTCTAGTAACTCGCGAATAGGCAGGCATTAGTGAAATTAAATATACTAGTCACAACTGGATTACTTGGTATTAAGTTTTTAAAAAAAAAGAAAAGAAACAAATTAATAGTAACTGGTTTTACAAAATAAGTGTCAAAACTGCTTGCCAGACTCAGGTAGTTAGCAGGTAGTCAAATAACATTCGTGACAAGCAACTAATTGGAAATGGGAAACATTTTCAGATTTAAGCGTCAAACTTGTGAGAGGATTTCGATACTTGCGTCGCCTAAAGGAATTAAAAACAGTGAAATGAAGCAGCGAATATATAACACGAACCTGTAACTTCACAAGCTGTGATTGAGCACATTTTCAGGATAAGCATCCGGGGATTCAGCTCGATTAAATGAACGGTCAAACGGCCCGCATCCGTTCAATACAACTAACGTTACACAACTCGCATCGGACTCCATCCCGTTAACGCGGCTCGTTAATGGCTGCGATGACACGAGGTTCAGTATGAACAAAACATCTCTACGACCATAGATCATTCACCTTTTGATTGTTACACCAGATTCAATTATCGACACCAAAACAATGTTAAACCCCAGTCTATTAACTACGGAGTCAGCATTTGGAAGTGGAAGTGTGACTCGATCGGTGTTTGGGATGCTCGTCCAAAGATCATCAATTGTTTGATGTACAAACCTGATTGCTGATATCGGCGGGGAGGCTCTTGATAATTATTTTTCGCCGATTATAAAACTCTCTTCTCGTTCTTTCCAAACGACTAGCAATCTCTTCTGGACCGAGGGCCGTCGGTTCATCATCGAGTCGTCGCGGACAGTCGCTTGCCGTCGGAGAACCCTCATCGCCGGTGTCCGCATCAACGTGTTTGCCCGTGTCAAACCCCCAGTTTTCGGGTTCGGCTGCTTGGTCGTAACTTTTAAAGAGTGGATTCGGGGCGAAGTTGGCAGCAGTTAAGTTTTTCTCGTCTCTGGCAGCTGAGCTAACGGACACCGCGGCCGCCATATCTCTGTGTGGAAGTTTGTGCGCTCGCTCGTTTGCTTTGGCCAGTTTAAACAATACACACATGCGAGAAACTCGCCCGCTGATTGGTCGAGGGGAAATGCGTTTTTCTTTCACGCCTTGAGGGGCGGGGCTAGCGAGTCACGTCTCAAATTTGAACACAAAAGCAGGTGGGTTGCCAGATACCATCAAAATGTAAAATATTTACCTAAGAATTACTTTTATCTTGTTCTTTTTTATGATCTCCGTTTCCGTTTTTTTGCTTTTTCTTGTTTTCATATTAAAAAGAAAGAGTAACATACCTGATATCATGTTGTTCAGTGTACAGGTTGCAAGATATCACTTTGTCCTAACATACAGTTTACAATATAGACGTCCTTGCTATGGGCTTATGAGTTTGTTTTAGATTAATACCCCGATGTTTATAACTAGTTTTTTTTTTCAGTCCTCTAGTTTTAACGGCATAAAAATGGGGACTGGTTGCCAGATCAAGATAAAAGAAGTCAGTGGGCCTCATGGGTACTAGTAAAAGTGGTTCACAATAGATTTGTTGTGAAAATGTTACTGTGAAGTCTGTCATTTCACTGGAAGATCGAGTTATATTTTATTATGGGGTCAAAATAAAGGTATACATGGATGAATCCTTCACCTAAAGATCAATAACATAAATAGACAGGGTGAATTTTCATTTCATGCTGACTTTGACTGTTTCCCAAAAACCCAAAGGGATCCACTTTTAAATAACACAATGCCTCTCAAAAGATTGTATTTCGTTATACACTTTCAATAATTACATTTATTAAAAGAGTTTTATAGATACATTCAGTGGGACATTAAGACGACGTACAGAAGAAGAAGATGTACAAAAGGAAGATGTACGTCCATAAAACATGGGAAGAATTGCACCTTTTTCAAAAAGAGAAAATATAAATAAAAAGAAAAACATTCAAAGCGGCATTTAGATCATACTGTAAACATCTCAATTCTTATTCTTAAGGCCATTAGCCTGTCACAGTCTTTGCTTACTCCCAATATATATATATTGGGAGTAAGCAAAGACAGCTCTTTCAGCGATGACCTTCTGTGGCTTACCCTCCTTGTGGAGGGTGTCGATGATCGTCTTCTGGACAACTGTCAAGTCAGTAGTCTTCCCCATAATTGTGGTTGCATGTTCTAAACTAGCCCAGGAGGTCCCAGTATTTATACTCAAAATTAATCAAACTAATCAAGCTCAAAATGGAATATTCAAATTTTTTGAGATACTGAATTTTAAATTTTCCTAAGCTGCAAGTCGTAACCATCAGAATTAAAACAAACAAACTCTTGAAATATTCCAGTTTGTGAGCAATGAATCTAGAATATAAGAAAGTTTGCTTTTTTTTAAATTAAATTACAAAAAATAAAGAGCTTTTCCATGATATTCTAATTTTTTGAGATGCACCTGTATATATATATATACAGGTGCATC